CAGAAGGCTGGCGGTTCAAACCCACCAGCCACTCCTCGGAAGGAAGATGGGGCAATCTACTTCCGAAGTGATACTGCCTCGGAAACCCAAGGAGGGGTTGCTATGAGTCGGGTCCGACTCGACGGCACATAACAACAACTTGTTCTACAGCCAAACCTCAGGGAAATAAATCTGAGATACAGAGAAATAGGACATGGCCCCAACACATTCAATCTGGAATTCAGCATAGCTATATCTGTAGTCTAACTAGCTTGCTGTGTGCTGTTGAAAAGATACCAGCTCATAGTGACCCTATAGGACAGAACAGACCTCTCCCACAGGATTTCCAAAGCTGTAAACTGTTCCAGAAGCAGACTTCCACATCGCTCTCCACTGGAGCAACTAGTGGGTTTGAACTTGACGACTTTAGGGTTAGCAGCCTCACACTTTAATCACTGTGCCACCAGGGTTCCTTGTGCAACCATCACCACTATCTAATTCCAGAACATTTTCATCACTCCAAGAAGAAACTCCAGATTCATTAGCAGTTACTCCCCATTCCTCCCTCCTTCCAGCCCCTAAACTCACTGCTGTGGAGTCGGATCCGACTCATAGCGACCCCTCCTTGGGTTTCCGAGGTGGTATCACTACGAAGATTGCCCAACCTTCCTTCCAAGGAGTAGCTGGTCAGTTTGAACTGCCAGCCTTCTGGTTAGCAGTCAAATGCCTTAGGCACTACGCCACCAGAGCTCCCCTTCCAGCCCCTGGTAACCATTAATCTACTTTCTGTCTCTATCAATTTGCTTATCCCAGACATTTCATATAAGTAGAATCACGTAATATACGGCCTTTTGTGACTGGTTTCTTTTACTCAGCATGTTTTCAAGGTTCATTCATGTTGCAGCCTGTATAAGTACTTCATTGCTTTAAAAAAAAAAAAAAATTAATTCTATTTATTTATTTATTTTTGCAGTGTTCCTGCACTTCATTCTTTTTATGGCTGAATAATATTCCATTCTCTGGATATACCACGCAGAAGCAAGACTGGGCAATCTACTTCCATAAAGATTTACTGCCCTGGAAACTTCATGGGGGTCACTAGTTGTTTATCCATTCATCAGCTGATGCACATTTGGTTTGTTTCCACTAAGGGGCTATTATGACTAACGCTGCTGTAAGCATTGGTATACAAGTTTTTTGTGTGACAGTGCTTTCTTGTGTATATACCTAGGAATGGAATTGCCAGATCATATGCAAGTCAGGAGCCCTGGTACTGGAATAATTAAGTGCTTGACTGATAATCCAAAGATCTATGGCTGGAACCCACCAACTGCATAAGACTTGTAAAGATCACAGCCTTGGAAACCTCAAGGGACAGTTCTACTCTGTCTTATAGGGTCGATGGCACACAAAAGGAGCAAGTCATTTTTTAAACAAACATCTAATAACACCACAGGTGTGACCCTCAGTGAGCCATGTAACCTTTGTGGGCCTGTTTCTTCTTCAGTAAAACATTAGATAGTAATAATTATCTACTTTATAGGATTGCGCGAGTTACAGGAAATAACCCATCTACAGTACTTTGTATAGTATCTGGTACACAGGAACCGCTCCATAAAATAAGCTAAACGACGAAAGAAGGAGTCTCATCCGTCCTCTCGCTGAGCCTCGGTTTATTCCTGAAAAACGAGGGAGTAGGCCAAGCAGGAGTCGGCCTGGTACGCTCCGCGCCTCGAGCCGCCGGCACCAAGACACCAAACACCCTGTGTCTTCCAAATGCTCCTGCAGAGCCACCCCCGCCCCGGCCCTGGCCACAAATCCCTCACAGTGGGGTTCCTTTGGGAAGCCCTGGCCAGGAAGATCCCGCAGTGACAAAGTGCACTCACCTGAAACTTCTCGCGCCACCCTTTCAAATCCCACGCAGGACCCGGAAGTAGTTCCCCTGGTAGTGGAAACAGAAGGTTTTGAGACCGGAAGCTCATGTAAAGCAAACATGGCGTCGGCGGTGCTGGCACTAAGGACGCGAACAGCTGGTAACGGACGCTTGTGGGGGGCAGTGCAGCCAGAGCCAGGAGCCCAGGGCTGGTAGAAGCCATTCTCCGCGGAGAACCCCGGGCACGGAGGGGAGTGTGCGGGGCACAGTTCATTGAGCGCGAGGCTTGACGGGCAGTTATCGCAGATCACGTGACATTTCTAGGGGTCGGGACCAGGTGGAGTGGCGTGGAGGAACACGTGACCCTCCCGAGGCTTTCGCGCGTGTTCAGCTTCCCTCATGCTTGGTGACTGGGCGCGCTGGCTCCTCTCTCTGGGTCTTTATTACAAGCTAGTACAACATTGTATCTCAGAAAGTACATGCGTTCATTCAACAGATTGAGAGTTTATATTATGCCAGACACAGTGATAAATGTTGGAGATCCCAACAGAGAATATGAAGACAAGGTCCCCACATACCCTTTAAGTGGTTCTTTCCAGTGGATAAACCAGTGAAGAAAATAGCTGTAAATTGTGACAAGTGAAGGAAACAGAAAAAATGAGTGTGTGTGTCTGTTTTTTTTTTTGAGATTGATGGTCAGGGAAGTCCTCAAAGGAGGTAACACTTAAGCCCTAAAGGATGACAGGAGGTCTGGGCTTTATAGAGTGAGAGTTAGAAGAGTGATTTAATCCAGTTTTGCATTTGGAGAATCAAATATTGCAATTGTGTGGATTTAAAGGAGATAGGAGTGGAAATGAAACTAGATGAAAAACTTACAGTAACCTTGATAAGAGATGCTTAAGCCAAGATATAACAGGTTTGCTGTGAACTCCGAGGGAAATGGATAAATTTGAGTTCTGTTTTGGAGATAGAATCAACAGAGCTTGCTGGTGAACTGGATATGTGAGGTGAACAAAGAGAAGGAATCTGTAATGACTTTGGTTATATTTCACAACTGGGTAGAAGGTAACATCATTTGTTTTGAAGAACAGGATGGGAGATAGGGCAAAGGTTTGTGAACAATATGGGTAAATCATAAGCCAAGTTCCTGAGCTTAATGAAGAAATAAATAGGTATTGAAGGTAAATAGGGCCCAGTGCTGGGCATCAGTAAACTCTTGTCTCTGGTCCTGATTAACTATATTGTATATGGCAAATTGAAGGCAGGGACGGCCAGCCCTGGCCTTGTCATATAGCAAGAGGCACCATCTTGGTGTTCTGGTTACCTGGTGCTGCTCTGACAGGAAATATACCACAGATGGAATGGCTTAAACAAGCAGGAGTTGATTCTTACAATTTGGAGGCTTTAAGTCCAAGTTCAAAGTGCCAGGCTCTAGGGGCTAGGTGAAAGCCCCTCAACCTTGGGGTCCAGCTCTGCCTCCTGCTCCCGGCCCACTGGAGCTAACAGGTGTTTCTTCACTCAGACAGCTGCTGGATACTGAGAAGCCCCAACGTTGACAAGTAAAAAGGCACAGTCCTGATGTTACCAGACCACACGGCAGGCCATTAACTTAAGTCCATTGTAAATCCCACGGTCGGCAGAGCATAGCAGGCTGCTGATCAACGACACGGCTACATGCAGGGTCCAAGCGTGTCATAGGCGAGAGACCATTCCCAAGGCTTCTCCTTAAATACAGGAAGCAGACCATATCCCAAACCAGCTACTCAGCTGCTTGTGGTAGATCGCACCATAGAGTTGATTGCCAGTCTCATCATGAGGAATAACTACCACCAGCTGCCCAGCCACTCAACCAGGCCCAACCAAGTTGACACGCAAACATAACTACCACACTTGGTTAGTATGAAGTTTAGTTCATTTTCCTTTTTAAAATAAATGCCATTGAACACTTTTGAATGGATATGGAGAGATCATATTAACAAGGGCAAGGCTGTTGGTCTTCATAGTTGGACTTCTACTTGATGGGTGTTATGAAGAAAGAGTCCAGCCTTCTGAAATGGCCAGGAGTCTAGGGGACCTGCCACAGGCCAGCCATCATTTTTGTTTACAGGTATCTGGTATGTTGGTGTGCAGTGGGTGGTGGCTAGTTCAGAAGGGAGCCTGTGTGAGTGAGGCCAAAGTAAGAGGTTCTCTCTGGATGTCCTTTAGGGCTCTGTGGTCTGGCCTTGAGGGCACAATGGTGAGTGAGGCTGAAGCAGGCTGCTTTGTGGTGTTCTTTTACTGGATTCTGGTATTTTTGTGGTGTTTGTTTCCTCTCTGAAGCAGGAGTGAATGCATCAGCACCCAGGACACATGGTATTTATTTATTTTTCTTCCATTTATATTTCACTACTACTTTCCACCCCCCACATAGACACACATACTCCTCACGCAGTGCTTACACCATGGACTGTATTAAGTAATGAGTTGTCTCCTTGGAGAAAAACAAGGACTTCTAGACACTCCCTGAAAATCAACACACTCAAGCGGCATTTTTACTCTCCCCACATACACACACATTTTCCTTACTTCTCTGCTACTGCTTCCTCTGCCACTTTTCAGCTTAGCAAATGGCCATTGAGGCTCAGAAAGAGTCTAATTGGGAGCCTATGTGAACAGTGTTCTGGTTACCTTTCTGTAGTTACAGCCCTGTTGAGCCCCCCTCAGGCTGCAGCTCTTGCTATCAGATATGCTTCCAAGAAAACAGGTGGCAGCTCCAAAAACCTTGGTGGAAAGTCATCTGGCAGACGCTATGGCATCAAGAAAATGGAAGGTGAGAATATGCCTTGGCCTCCGTTTCCCAGGTGCACCTGCCCTGCTGCTGGTGTTTCTTAGAAGAGCAGGGTAACCATGCAAGTGCCTGGCTCTGTACTCAGTTTAGCTCACCAGAGCATTTGGCTCTGGATCAGAGGGGTATCTAAGACCTGAGAAAGATTAGGGAGCCACAAAGAAGGGTAGGTAGGTATGAACCTTGGCTATGTGACTGGAGAGAAGGGTGGAGGACAGTGGGAGGGCTGCTTGTGTTGGACCATGTGGGAGTTTTTGGCCAGGGGTGGTGAGAACTGTCATGTTTTTCTTAGCAGTGTGTTGTGCTGCCCCAATAACTGGGGCCAGAGTCGAGTCAATGCACTTGTGGACTTTTCTTCTAGGTCACTATGTTCATGCTGGCAACATCCTAGGGACTCAGCGCCAATTCCGCTGGCACCCAGGAGCCCATGTGAGTTGCTCTGTGGTCCCCTTTCTTTTCTAGGATCACTTCTCTCTGCCCTTAAGCATAATAATAACAACAACAACAGTGGTGTTTGTTAGGCTCTTACCAAATGCCAAACATCATGCTAAGCCGTGTACCTACATTATCTCATTCTTAACCGCATCCCTATGAGGTAGGTATCATCTCCCTTTTACAAGTGAAATGTCAGAGGCAGAGATGGATGCCCCAGTGTTTTGTCTGGTTGGTAGAGAAGTAGGCTTAGTGTACAGTTAGGCCAGTTCTCTTGGTTCTCCTTTGTCACCCCCAGGTCTTAGAGGAGATGTTTGGTGATTTAAGATTGTTTTTTGAATCATGAGAAATTAATTTCAACTTACTTATTTTTTTCTTCTAACTGTTCCTCCTCTCCTTAAATTTATTATTAGATTGTTTTAAAATAACTGGAATTTAATAAAATATAATTCAGTGTGTATGTACTGGAAATTAGGTTCATACCAGGCAAAGATTTCAGTCTCAGCAAGTTGGGAATACTTTATGAAGTAGGAGAGTTCTTGGTTAAGACAGAACTCTGTTGTTGTTGTTGTTATGTGCCGTCGAGTCAGACCCGAATCATAGCAACCCCTCCTTGGGTTTCCGAGGCGGTATCACTATGGAAGTAGATTGCCCAACCTTCCTTCCGAGGAGTGGCTGGTGGGTTTGAACCTCCAGCCTTCTGGTTAGCAGTCAAGTGCCTTAGGCACTACACTACTGGAGCTCCCAGACAGAACTCTAGTCTTCACATTATTTGAAAGGTTAATTTAGTTTCCTTTGTAATCAATTTGCTGCCCACCCACCTTTTTTGGGGTTATTTTAGTAGACACAAAGAGGGTGGTTATAACCTGTAATTATTTCAAAGATGTTAAGTTGTATGTGGATTGATTACAAATACATTGTTGTTAGGTGCCATTGAAAATGGTAGCTTTAGCAACCTATACAACTATGAGACCAGAAGAACTAGATGGTGCCCAGCTACCACTGCCATCCACTTGGAAGGGATGTTGGAGATCCTGCATAGAGAGGGAGAACAATGTGGAACAAAACTCAAAATCATTTGGAGGAAAAAAAAAAAAAAGAAGGTGGGGACCAGGTTTGCTGGTCCATAGAGCCTGGTGTAACCACTGAGACTATGGCCCCTAGCTGCCCTTCAGGTCTGGAATTGAACCCACACCTGTGGTTTCCAGCCAAACAAAGTACAGGCATGTGAGTTAAACATTTACCTCAAGTAGACACACGCCCTGGAGAGAACAATCATGGGAGAAGGAAGGGCTGCTTATGCACAGGGAGATAGCTCAGGGTGCAGAAGAGTATGAAGGGATGGACACTGGGAGGAGGTAACTATGGGGAGGAAGTGGGAGGGGAGCTGCTGCATTGTAAATTTTGGTCAATGACATGAGACAAAGTATATGTGAACTGCTGTATGAAAAGTGAATTTACTCTGTAAATCTTCACCCAAATCCTAAAAAAAAAAATGGTAGCTTTATGTTTTAGAACTTGAGATACTGGATTTAACTTCCTGGACTTGCTAAAATAACAACAATAAAATTGATATTTTTGAGCTAGGCATTATTCTAAGCGCTTTGTGATTAGTCATTCATTTAATCCTGAAGATGACCCTATAAAGTAGTTAATGTTATTTCCATTATGCAGATGAAACATCTGAGACATAGTGAAGTAAAGTCACTTGCCAAAGGTCACATAGTAATAAGTAGTAGTGCTAGGATTTGAATAAGGCATCCTGGTTCCAGAGCCCACAGAGTAGTACTAGACTGACTGAGTAAAAATTTCATATCTCAAGTTCTAGAAAAAATAAAATTAAAATATATTGTTTTAAAAAACTGTATCTGCATACACAGCGCACAGGCTACTTAACCTCTGCCTCATCTTTCTCATCTGTAAAATGGGGTTGGACATAGTACCTATCTCACAAGGTAAAAATTAAATGAGTTGATGTACATAATAGTGCTCAGAGCAGTATTTACACAAAGTAAGCACTATGTAAGTGTTGAACTAATATAACTATAAGGCACTCTGGTGGTGTAGTGCCTCAGGTATTTGACTGCTAACCAGAAAGTTGGCAGTTTAAACCCTTCAGCCACTCCATGGAAGGAAGACTGGGCAAACTACTTCCATAAAGATTTACCGCCTCAGAAACCAAAAGGGGGTCACTATGGTTATTTATTACTATATACATTATTAATATAGCTTCTGTCTACTTTCCCTAGAGCCTAAACTTTATCAATGACTATGTGGATCAAACTGTGTACCAAACTAGTGTTTCATATGACACCTCCAGTATCAATTCAGTGAAACAAGTTCCCAGAGGTAGTGATTTGGGGCATCTTCCTGGCCAGGACTGGGATCTGTTCTATGTGTCTTGCACCCAGCTGCATGCACATGGTTCTGCCTCTCAGTAGTCTCTCAGACTAAACAGCCACCAGGATTGTCTGTTGGAGTTTTCTTTCTCCTTCTCTGTCATGGAATCAGTAAAGAAACAAAAGGCAAGGAAATGCCAGTCAGTAGTAAAGGGAACCAGAGAGGCCTTTTGGAGCCCTCTCGTTTGACCCCAGAGCCTGGTTATTTGTGAGAAGTCAGCCCAAAAGCCCTGGGATGGACCACTTCCTGTCCATCCAGCTGACCTGGTCTATGTGTTGCAGGTGGGGCTGGGGAAGAAGAAGTGCCTGTATGCCTTGGAAGAGGGAATAGTCCGCTACACTAAGGAGGTCTACGTGCCCAATCCCAGTAATGCAGAAGCTGTGGACCTAATCACCAGGCTGCCCAAGGGTGCTGTGCTCTACAAGACTTTTGTCCACGTGGTTCCCACCAAGCCTGAGGGCACCTTCAAACTGGTAGCTATGCTTTGAACTCCTCGTTGAGGCTGTCAGACAGAGACCAGATCCCACGTGCCAGAAGAGAGCAGTACCAGAAAAAGTCAGGGTTTGGGATGACAGATGTCAAGGCTTCCAAGAAAGAGGTCTGCTTGATGGTGACTCTGTGAAGTAGTAACTGGGAAACCCTCTGGGGGAGACCTAAGCTGGGCCAGAAATAAAGTTAGTTAAAGTCATGAGGCTGTGCTATCTGGGGACACCAGATGAGCTGCTTACTGATTGGTTAGTCCTTACCTATGTTCTCTAGTATACTGAGGGAGAACTTTGACGTACTGCACGAAGCAGATGGGGGCAGCATTCTCTGACCGCCTCCAACTTAACAAGGGGGAGAGAAAATCTCCCTCAGCAGCCCAAGGCTGATTCCTATGAGGAATCAGACATGCCACCACCCTCCAACCTTTTTACCAATTCTGACACCAACCGTCCTTCCCATGACACTACTTCTCTGCTGGGTTCGATCATTTGTGGCAATGGCCACACAAAACTCACAGACGATACTCAGAATTATGGGGTTTATCAGGGAAGTAAAAGGTTACAGTTCAAGTTCAGGACTACTCAGGATATAATTCTTAGATGAGGGCAGCCTCCTCTCAGGCATGTCTACAACCACGCTTCTTTTTGGTCCTTAGCCTCTCGGTTTAGCCTCTGCTCTGCTCGGGCAAGTGTTACAAAGCTCTTTCAGCTCTGCCAATAGGTACACCGCACTCTGCCAGCAAGCCTCCTGCCCAAAGCCATTCAGCTTTCTCACTCAGTTGGCTGGCAAGCCCACCGTTCTATCTCATGCTGGTCTTTCTGTTCTGCTGCCTTTGCTGCTGCCATCTCTCTGTTGTTCTCTCTGCTGTCATCTCAGCATAGGGATCTCAGGTCAAAGAACATGCTCCACTCCTGCTTCTCTTTATGGTAGTGAGATCCCCGCTTCTGTCTAGGAGGGCTCACTTCAAGCCTAGTGGAATGACAAAACTGACCAGTCCCAACATCAGAGTTTCATATACCTTATTTCTGTGGTCCCACCCCCACAAGGGTGCCACGTACCTTATTGACATTACTAACAAGCTATCCAGGCTCCTTGGTGAGCCACAAACACCTTACATCTGCATAGTTCCACCCAGTAAGCTGATGGGAGTCACAAAGACCATGGTGCAAAGAGCCATACTATGTAATTTGCTGCACCACAAGCAAAAAAGTGGGCCTATCAGAGTGAGGAGATGAGAGGAGGGCTTTCTCTGGAGGAGAGGGTTGTTTTGGCACTGTCCCCCAGAGGGGAAGGAAGAAGAGAGCTTATGCTGGAGGGGGTCCTCTTTCTTCTCCAGGACCAAACACCTGCCCAGGGCCTGGGTGGAAGGAAGCTTGTAAAGGAGGGGACAGTTATATTCCTCTCCTGGAGTCATAGTCAGAGGAAGCTGGGGCCACATCCTAGAGGTGGCCATATAGGGGTCCAGGACAGGGAAGAAGCTTGTAGAATGAAGGAGACCCTTTATCAGACTCCATCTACCTTGAATATAAGTCCCTCTGAATACGAGGCAGAGTGGGTGACAAGTGGGCTTTTTTCTGCCTACTCTGAACACCATGCCCACGTTCTCACTGGTTCTTGATTTAATCTCAAACCATAAACAGCTGCAAAGAATCTGGTTTCAAGAAGTGAGAGCCTACGGCTACCACTGTCAACCACTCAGTGGTGGATCTATGTAGGAGATCCTGGATAGAGAGGAAAAACAATGTGGAACAAAACTCAAAATCATTAAAAAAAAAAAAAAAAAAAAAAAAAAAAAAAAGGGGGGGGGCAGGTTTGCTGGTCTGATAGAGCCTGGTGGAACCCCTGAGACTATGGCCCCTAGCTACCCTTCAGGTCTGGAATTGAACCCACTCCTGTGGCTTCCAGCCAAACAAGGCAGTCATATGAGCTGAACATTTACATTAAGTAGATACACTTCTTGGAGAGATCAATCATGGGAGAATAGAAGGGCTGTGTATGTGCAGGGAGACAGCTCAGGGGGCAGGAGTGCACGGGAGGGAAGGACACAGGGAAGAGTGTGTAACTAACTGGAGGGAGGAAGTGGGAAGAGAGCTGTTGCATTGTAGGACATTGCAGTCAATGTCATAAGACAAAGGTATGTATGTGAACTGCTGTGTGGAAAATGAATTTACTCTGTAAACTTTTACCCAAATCACAATTAAAAAAATAATAATAGTAAGTGGGAGCCTAGAGTGGGCTGGGGGCAGGCTTTCATTGTCAGCCCAACCCAGGACCTTTAGGAGCTTTGCTTTAGAGTGGAAGAGCCAGGCAGGAAGTCTCAGCGGGAGATGGGTGGTTGCTGTTCATCAGGTAGATGATACTAGGTGTAGCCCGAGAGAGGGGCTTCTGGAGTTCAGCAGCTTCCTTTCGAGGACACTTCTCTACCCTGAGGGTGGAGACCCCAGGAACTGAGGGCAGAGAATTGGGAGCGATTCTAGAAATCTGCTTTGAACTTCTGCGTTGTGCTCTCGGGGTGTGACCCCAGATTCCCCATCTGCAGATCCTTGGCAAAGGTGACTTGGGCTTTGTTGAGGATCAGTTTGCCTTCCTCCTTCATGGGGTCATAGGTACCAAGGCCCAGCTGGTTTGGTCCTTAGGCAGGGGGAGACTCCACAGGCTCAGCACTGTCCCTGCCAGTCTCCTGGAGGTGTGGGAATGGGCAGGATGGAGGTTGTGGTTCCCTCCTACACAGTGCTGTTTCCTTGAGTAGGGCAGGTGGCTGCTTCTTGGGATGGATAAGCAGAGCCATGGTTGGATGGTGGTACAGGGAGTGACTTTAGGGCCTCCTCATAGCTCGGTGGCACCTGAAAGGGTGGGAGAGCAAAGGTATTACCCATTTCCTTGCCTTCCTCATACACACATGCCCTCCCTTTATTTGAACTGCTGCTCTGTCGCCTGTCCCTCCCACCAATGACTGGTTCTTCCTAGAAACAAGTTGAATCTAGGGCTGTTGGCTCAATGGTGCCCCTTTGTGGGAGTCTGTCCTGAGCTATAGGGCAGGCCTCCCTAGGCTGGGCTCTGCCATCCTTCCCTTTGCCCAAATAGATGAAGTAGTGAGGGCCTCCTGCCAAATTCTGGGGTGCCCCATCAGTGCTCTTTCCTTGTCCTGATCCCAGAGGTTCTAATTGAACTGTTTGTGTGTGTGTGTGTGTGTGTGTGTGTGTTTGAGAGAGAGAGAGAAATAGGGAAAGAGCTCAGTCCTCCGGGGCACACCAAGTCACCTCTCTGCAGGCCTAGAGCCAAAGCGCTATGCAATCAGCTGGTGAATCTGCTGCTGCCGGTCCTTCTTCCGAACACTCTTGTAGCCAGGCAGCCAAGCTGGCTGCCACCGGGGCAGTCGGCAGCTACTGGGCAGCCCCACACAGAACACCTCACAGCGCTAAAGATAGCCCTGTGACCAAGAAACACTAAGGAAGCCAGGCAGGCATATACAACCATTACCCGGTTTCAATTTAGATCCTCTGCCCCAGAGTGAGCCTAAGACCTGGGGCACCACATCCCCTCCTCCCTTCCCCGAGGCCTCTCTAGGCCTTGTCCCATCCTTCCCCACCCTCAGCATTGTGTTTAATCCTCCTAACCCCACTAGGTCGCCTTGCCTGGCTTCAGGACCTCTGCACACACCTCTTCCACCATATCCAGGTGGCAGCCCAAAGGTCTTCTCACCTGTATCCCCTGAGACTCTCTTCTTTCTGCTGGCCGGGCCTCAGTGGGGGTGCTGAAGTAGGTAGGGGAGGCATCCTAGAGATCATGAAGAAGGACTCAAGGTGAAGCTCAGAATTTAGAGTCAGTGAATAAGAGAGTAAGGACTAAACCCTGTGTTGTCTCCCATGCCCCATCGCTTTCATCCTCTCTGCTTAGTCCAAGACACAAAGCTCAGACCCTGAGCATTTCTGAAATGCACTTGGCTGTAAAGAGATCCCTCTCCTTTCTGGCCACTAGCTCATTCTCTCATGGTCTGGGCAGCCAGCTCTGATGACCTTTGTAGGGAGAGTCAGAGAAAGCCTCCTGCTGTCCCCATTTCTTCATTCCCAGTCTGCCCAGAGCTGGGGGGCTGGAGCCTGGAGTGGCTGCAGCTCAGAAGATCATTTTTGTTTCTGTGCCCAGGATTCCGTATGTTGCCCAGTCCCTAGGGAGAGAACTGACAGTACTGGAGTTGCCACCTACCCCCTCCTACAGAGTCCGGGCTCCTCCCCTGAGAGTTAGGGGGAGGGAGGGCTGGCTGCCAGTTGCTTAGAGAGCTAGGAAAAGACCTTTATCTTCACCAATCAGCTCCCAACAGGGTTCAGTTTTACAGTGGGCAGAGAGGGGCCTGGCCAGGATGTTATTAACCCTTTCCACACTGCTGCCATGGCCCCAAAGGAACCCAGGCTAGAAGATGTGGAATCCAGAGAGTGAAGAGTCCAAAGACCTCTTCACATGGAACAATGCTTCTCCCTGGCCAGAAAGCAGGTGTCTTTCGGCAGGACGGGGTTGGGGGCAGGGGGATTGTGCTTACATGTTGACGGGGGCTCCGGAAGAAGTGGCAGGAGCAGATGAGCTGGCAGCACTGGGGTCCCGCTGGCACAGCAGCAGCAGCAGGACGGCCATGATGAACACCAGGGAGGAAACTGCCCCTCCCGTAGAGGCACAGTCAGGGCTTTGGCCTGGACCTGCCTGTGCAGGCCCCTTTCCTCCCCAGACTGAATTCGATTCCAAAAGTTAGTAGAGGGATGACCTGGCTGGGTCTAGTATCAGCTTGGCAAGCAAGGGAGACTGAGGTGCAGGCAGCAAAAGGCTGAGCTCTGGGCTCCCCTCCTGCGGCTACATCAGCTCCCTGTAGCAGAGGTTTGTGAGGGAGAGCAGAAGCCCTTCATCCCGTCTCTTCCATCAGCCCAGGGAAGGAGGATGTGTGGAAGGGAGATTCTACAGAAGCAGCGTAGGGAGGGGAAAGAGCTTGTGGCAGGGGCACACACCCTTAGAAATA